GTGATTAAGAATTTTTGAATAAATCAGTTCAAATTTATTGTTTTTTATTTTTATGAAAAATACATTTAATTAAATAGATATATGAAAAAAGAAGTTTCCAATGATTAGAATATAAGATTTTTTTATTTAAAATTCTCTCATTGGAAATTTCTACTTTTTTATATAATATCTATTTAATTAAATGTATTTTCTATTATATGCATTAATTGATTTTACATTGAAATGCTCGAAAGAAAGTTACGTACTGATAATTGTACACTTCCATATTCTTCGTGAGTCCATGTATCTTGACATTTCGATATTCTTGTTTGAGCGAAACTGAGCCCTCCGAATCAATTTTTATGCTGTCAATTGCTAGAGGTTCAATAGGCAGAATTTTAAAGCTCTTCAGACCTAAACATGAACGTAACAGACATGAACGTAACAGACGTTACTGAATGTATAAAGTCAATGTACAATGTACGTCTTATTCTAATGCATTTTGATTCCATTCTTCTATAACATGCATAATTACTTCATACTATTCATCGTTCAAGATATAATTTGCAGAATTAAAAAATGCAACTAATAAAAAGACAACTTATCATAATTTAATATCTAAACATAATTATAGCTTTATTAATTGCATTATATGTATATTATATTTTAGTGTAACTTTTAGTGTAAAATATAAATAGTGTAAATCTATTTAAAAACACGTTAAAAAGGAAAAGAAAAAAATGCACCAAGTATACCAATATTCTTTTTACAAAAATATCTAAGAATTCTTTACAAAAATAATTACTAAAAATTGATATAATGTAATAATATAAAAATGTCAAATTTTATAAAAGAGAGAGAGCGAGTCAATGTAAAGTTAATTCTATGCATAAATAAATATAAATATTTAATATTTCTGCAACAAAGTACATAATTTACATTATCGGAAATGCATTCAGAAAAATTAATGTAATCATTTTTTGTATAATTATCTTTTTACAGAAAATTTAAATTAAGAGATACAAAAGTTGTTACATCTGATCAATCTGATAAAAAATATACTGTAGCGGTTTTTTCACAGAGTATATTTCCATACACAGGGTGTTCCATAATGACCACCAAATATTTTGTATGTTGATAGAGCGGACTAAACTGAGTCCTTTAAAAAATTCTTTATCATTTTGCAATTTTTTGTACTTGTAATAGTTGATGAGATATTAATTACTAAAAATCGCTGAATATTAGTTTTAAATAATTTTTTATTCAAATACTATCAACTTTACAGAAAAACTTTAATAGAAATTAACTTTACAGAAAAACAGCAAAAGACAAAAATTGTTTATATTTCTTTCATAAAAAGTTCTGAGAATTTTTTTCAGAATTTTTTAATACCGTATTTTCTCATATTAGTAAAAATAAAATGCAGTATTAAAAAGTTGATTGAAAAAATCCTAAAATAGTTCTTAGAGTTCTATGAGAAGAAAATAAATTTTTCTTTTCTTGTAGTGTTTCTATAAAGTTGATAGTATTTGAGTAAAAAATTATTGAAGACCAATATTCGTCAATTTTTAGTAATTATTGGGAGTATAAATTAGTAGTATTCGATCCGTTTTTTTGTGCATTTATTTCAAAACAAAATGAATGAACAGATCAATTAAAGTATTGTCCATCGCTGCCTACTACTTTTTCCCATCTCTCAGGCAATTTTCGAATTCCATCTCCAAAAAATGACTCGTCTTTGGAGGCAATCCAATTTTGGAGCCAATTTTCGATTTCTGCGAAAGAAGTGAACCGGTGACTTGCTGCATCCTTCGGAACAGCCAGTAATCAGAAGGAGCAATGTCCGGAGAATACGGCGGGTGCGGTAAAAATATTCGATTTGAATGTTTCCAAATATTTTTTTACGACTTTAGCGACATGAGGCCGAGCGTTGTCATGAAGAAGAATAACTTTATCATGTCTTTGCTCATATTCCGGCCGCTTTTTTTGCAATGCATGGCTCAAACAAATCAATTGTAGCCGATACCGATCGCCCATGGAATCGCCAGGTTTCAGCAGCTCATAGTAAACAGATCCTTTTGGTCCCACCAAATACAGAGCATAATCTTCGAACCATGAATGTTCGGCTGTGGTGTTGATGTTGAGGTCGATGGCAACAATTGACCGGGCTTAGCATAGTATTTTTTCTTCTTGGGATTGTCGTAGAATATCCACTTCTCATCTCCAGTCACAATCCGTTGCAAAAAACCTTTTCCTATTGTCTTTGAATCAGCTATTCGCAAGTGAAAAATCGCCTTTCAACGTTTCTCGGTTTCAGTTCATAAGACACCCAATTTCCTTGTTTTTGAATCATTCCCATGGCTCTCAATCGTACAGAAACAACTTGTTGAGTTATCCCCAATGATTCTGCAAGCTCCTCTTGTGTTTAACTCTGATCTTCTTCAAATAATAATGCCTCTAATTCTTTGTCTTCGAACTTTTTTTGGCTGTCAGAGCGAGGCTTGTCTTCAACGCTGAAATCTCTATCCTTGAAACGTCGAAATCATTCCCTACATGATTATCAATTGGAGCAGTGTTACCATAAACTTCGACAAGCATTCGATGGGTTTCAGCCGCACTTTTCTTCCAATTAAAGTAGAAAATCAAAATTTCCCGCAAATGCTGCTTGGTTAACACAAAATTCGACATTTCAAACACAGTAAAAATCAAGGTTTTTATATGAAACAAAGCGATATAAACTGAATATTATTAGCAGATGTTTAACCTCTCTGAAACCGTCAAAATCAGCTGTCACTATGAACCATTCACAACAGTTATCTTTAGAAACGGAAACGGACCGAACTAATTTGTACTCTCAATAATATCTTGTTAACTATTGCGAAATTACAAAATGAAATAACTTTTCGACTCAGTTTTTAGTTCGCTTTAATATTGTTTTAATATTGTTTAGAAGATAATTAAAATTAATTATTCGTATTCTGTACAAATGGAATAATAACTTGCAAATATATTTTTATAAGCGTTAATTTGCATAATTTATACCATTTCAATGTATGTTGCAATTACGTGTATTATCATAGAAATTTATTAGATGTAACGTGTATGTAGTATAAGCATAATAATCATGTCACTGAATGTAAATTAAAGTTAAATTATTTGATGATGCAAATTGTGACTTTTAGAAACTCTGATGAGTGTATGCACTCTTGGAAATTGTTTTATAGTAAACAACAATTGAGTTTCAATTATTTGTTTGTCATCAACCATTTGTTGTCATAATTTTTCGAAATGAGAAATAATTGACTATTATAATCACGAAGTAATTAATAATTTATTAAAATATTTTTGTCTCAAGCTATAACTCAAGCTGTAACTCTTTATTAACTATAATTCGTAAACATCTTTCATGATAACTGTTTACAACTGTTTGCTTTTTCTAGTGAATAGGAAAAAGTGATGTATTTTAAAATATCTTGTTAGAATGTATATATTTTTATTAAATAAGAAAAAGAATAAACATTATAGTTCTTTGAAAGAAACGGACATTTATAATGTTATATCTTTAATGAAATCATCACCAGGAAAATACTTGATCGCTTTAATGAGAATTTGAGAGCTATTATAATACATTAGTAGAAAAAAGTGATTGAATAAATCGCTTATATGACTCATTATTTAGGATTTGTCAGAATATTATTTATGCTATTAGAGCTATAATAATTAATGATAAATTAATAAAAAAATATATTGATCACTCTTTTATCAAAAACATTGAAAAAATACATAAAAAAAATCTTTACAAATTTTAAAATTATTAAGAGAATAATCATTATATGATATACAAAATGCGAAGAAAATATATTACAGATATATTAAAAATATTTTTTATTTATAAATTTTACAATCTCAGTAAGATATAATTTAAAAAAGTTTCGGCATTTGATGTTTTGAATGTGGCATGGCAACTGCTTTTTCTCTTCTTCAATTCGTAGCATGAAAATACCCAGATAGTTACTGGACATCCCAAGAACGTCCATTTTAATTTCAAAATCACATTCACACGTCCATGAACATAAAATGGAGTATATTCTATTTCACACATGATGTGCATGATGTATTATTTAACCTTGTTAATATTCAGTGAACAACGAGGATAAATGATGCATCATGTTTGAAACGAATGCACTCATGGACAATCATCAGATGTCCATCCCAGTAAAAAATTTTTCATGCGAATATGTACAAGTATGTATAAACATATTGTACATAAACATGTAAAATAAATAAATATTCATAAATATGTACAATTATATAAAAAATTATTATAATTGTATAATTGTATGTATAAGCAATTTTTTTACATTTTTCTAAACTTGTTTTTTTCTAAAACAAACAATGCGAAAATTATTATTCTTTTAATTATTTTTTTATGTTTTCACATTAAAGATGTGCGATCTCCATTAATTGAATCGATCTCTGAATCAATTTTGAATCGGACTGATTGAAATCGATCTACTAAAAAATCGAAGCTGAATAAATCGTTCTATTGGAGATCTATTCAATCAAAATTTTTTAGAATCGTGAGATATGACAATGGAATAGATGTCGAATTGAAGTCAATTTCATAATTTCAGCGTCGAATCGATATTGATTCCATCGTCATTTTTTACTGATTATGAGATCATATAAATTCAACAAAAACAATTAAAACACGATTTTGATTTGCCTCCGAGTAAAATAATTTTAATTTAAAAACCTAGATTTAAACTAACATCTGTAGTTCTGATGATAAAATTGCAAATACTGACGTAAAATCGGTGAAATATCGTATATAGACGCGTTCGGTTTTATACAACTGTCAATTGGTGTTATAAATTAGAATTTAACTTGCATTTATTTATACATTTTGTCAGTAATAATTACTTGTTGTAACTACAGAATAAATCCGATTAATAATCAGTAACGTGTAAACGTAAGCAATGTAAGCATATATAATGTAATAATATTATTACAACTTTGGATTCTTTAATACAACATATATAGGACTAATAATAAGACTAATTTTCAATAAAACGATAAAGATTTAAACGAAAATATTAAATCTTTTTTTATATTGTATATACATACATCAAGACTGGAATATGTAAGCTTTAATGTAATCAATGCAAATCAATAGAAAGCAACAAAATGAAAAAAGATCACTTATTAAGGGATTGTTTATATAACAATTATAATAATAAAATTTTTTTAATATTATTTATATATTTATTATAATTTTTATATAAACAATTCTCAATATGATTCATTTTCACTTGCTTTCTATTGATTTGCATAGATCAACCTAATCCAGACATGATATCATGCTAATTCAATATTTATACTGTGGTCATACCGAATAAATTAGAAACATTAATGTGACGTCTCAGTAAAATATCATTTTTTGTGTATTGTCAAGATGTATTGAATATAATAATTAAATTTCAATTTTGATACTAAATATACCGTTGTTATATCGACTATACCCAAGACGTCTCTAAATTATTCTTGCGATATATCTCGTGTACGTCTGTCATATATTTTCAGAACAAACTCACAACATAAAATGTAGAATCAACGCTGCCTGCTTCATTTTCTATAAACATTGTATTTATAATCCAGAAAAGATCTTCCATTTTTTTCTTGATTGTCTTTTCTATAGTTTATTATTATAGAAATTATTTTTTGAAATTATATTTTACATTCACATTTGTGGCGCTAAAATTCGTAAGTGCCGGAATACACGGTAGTCATAGCACCATCAGTGAATGATTCTTCTTTGCCGTTTTACCACAGGCGTGTGCAAGCGTGTGAGGGCCTGTGCACAATATATCAAATATTAGGAACAGGAATAAATATTACAATTTCAACCTATCAGATATTATATCAGTTACACCGGAATATATGGTTTCTAATAGGTTGAAATCTTAATATTTATTTCTATTCCTATTCCTAATATTTCCTCCATTGTGCGCAGGGCTTGAGCCACGAGGCATAAACACAAACATAATAAATTCAAGATAATTCTCTATTTTTTCTTACTTATTTGGAAAAAATATAAAATAAAGTATGCAAAATTAATTTTGTATTTATTTATAATGATATTTTTCCGTCTATTGGTGTAAATTCAGTGTAAAATTAATTAATTTAAAAATTAGAAGTTACATTCAGAGATACATGAAGAGATTACATGAAGTCGCACCTAATATTTTTATTATTCGAAAGATGAATATTACTATAAGAATAAAAACATTAAGTTAGTTTAATTGCTATTGCATTTTACAATATTAATATTTTTAACTCGCCGACACGCATAAATACACAGTTTGGTCTCCTTGTACATTACAACTTGTTAGGATGTGTGTTGCATGCATAATGCGCATGATGTATCATTTTATCTTTATTATTCATCTTTTAATAATTAATTTTTTTTTTAGTTAGACTAATCAAGCTGAGCCATTGGTTAAATTTGCTGTTTGTCAAATTATTTATAATTGTGGAATCGTAAGGCAAAATAACTTTGTGTATTATCATATATAGTAATATATTATATAGCACTGTGACGATAACAATATATAAAAAAAGAAATACAAAACAAAATTATACTTACAATTCAATAAAATAAATTTTATAATACAATGCTAAATAAAAAACAACAAAATTATATATTGGATTTTTTAACCTAGATCAGGCGAAGAAATTTTTTTGAAAGAATGATATCAATTAAAAATTGCATGCTGAACAAATTAAGTATTGCATAATACAGTTACTACTATAAAATTGGAAGTATTTTCAAAGAATTTTAATTCTTGCCTGTGCAAATACTTAATTCGTTCAGCATGCAAGCGTAAGATTTTATATACACATATATATGTGTGTATGTGCATGCATACTAGAGGCATCACTATGATAATGCAGATGCTATAGAGATGTACTGAATATATAGTGGAGACATACTCATACATCTCGGTATCACTAGAAACTCCCTGTGAAAGTCTAGGGGATGAGAAACCGCGGACATAGTAGATTTTAAAGAAATTCTCTATACATCACAGACGCGTCTCGAATATCTTAACGATTTTTTCAACATACGTTTACGATATTGTTCTAACATTGTCAGAACGTAGATGGCTGTCTGAGAAGTGTGTCCTTGCTTACATATTCTAGTCTTAAAATAGTTCATCACAAAACAGTAAATGTATTGCGACATCTGTTTTTTACAAAGATAAAAATCTTTGAATTCATAGTTTTAAATTCTTCAAATTCTATTCTCAATAATTTTGTAATTTATAGATTTCAAAAACAACAAAAATAATAAATACTAATAATAAATACTAATTCTACGTTATATATTATTTATCGTTATATCTTAAACCTTTGTTTTCATTGCAGCCGTTATATTAATGATTTAACGTATTCAATAATTTAAAGTATTATTCTATATTAACACAAATTTTTATTATATACGTCTAAATGTAGGACAAGATAAAATAGATTCATATAAACAAATAATTTTACAATTATATATAATTTTGTATAATTTTTCTGGTTATGAATCAAATTATTAACAAATAATATGTTTCACAAAGTGAAACATATTATTTGTTAATAATTTATGCTAAAATTTTACAATATTTAGAAAAAATAAGAAAACCTAATAGTGAATAATTATAATTTTACAATATTAATTAATTAACTTAGTGTTCTCATGTGTTAAATAATTATTTATTTTTAAAAAATTCTGATTAATGTATAAATTATTAATTATATATGCATATATA